AAATTTAGCGAGGATCCCCTGGAATTTTGTCTGGTATATTGAAGTCACTTCCAGTTTAGTTTTTTACCAAATCAGCAATGTCCAAGCCCTAGTGTCCGCCAAATTAATATAGCAGCCAATATGGCCAAAATGGCAAAATCGTCAAATTAAGTAGCGCCAAATTAAATCTACAAAAGCTCCCAATCTGTTCATTCTCATTCATATTTCTCATATTTTCTGTTGCAGTTATATGGGAGGAATACATGTATGTCATCACAGTGTCCAATCACAGAGTTTATATAAGTAAAAGACAGAACATTTCACAAGAACCAGTTATCGCCTAGCAACACATGACGCATGCTGGATAGTGGACTTTGTTAACATGAAGACTGAATCAGGAAAAAGGATTTATTTGGGATATTTACCGCAAATTAATTTTCTATTTTGCAATGCATTTCTACTTATACTCAAAGCCTCTAGCATTTTTAGAACGATTTGTTATTTTCTCTTATTGGAAGAGGCTTTTTTGCATTTGAATATCAATTTTTTGCAAGACATAAAATTGAATAATATTAGTCAAAATACCCAACTTGCAATTTATTTTTAATTTTTACTTTACTCTTTTAATTCTATATTGTACTGTATAGGCTTGTTATAAATGTAACCTCTTCTTCATTTTTTCCCACATACACAAAATAACTTTGAAAACTAATATTGTTACTATGACAATCTCTTAGATATTGAAGAAATGATATTAAGCTTTGCACATATGTACCAATGGAATTACTATGTGAGTTGATGTTAGGAGTTCATGTTATAATATTGTTTTTATTAAGATATGTGAAAATAAAAAAAATCATTCTACCGAATTACACTGGGGTCCATTTTTGGCAAGTGTGTAAATTACAAATCGTAGAGAAAATGGGCGCTTGGTTTGTGCCATGGAATTAATTGAAAATTGCAAGTAATTTTTGTGAAAGACCTTTTTTGACTGTGATATTATGATGTGAAAGTTGTTTTCTATATTTTTGAATTATAATAAATAAAATAAAAACAAAAAAATTCTTGTGCTGAAAATATTTATTTTTCTTTCTGTTTATAGGTATAAATACATTACATGCATAACATATGTTTGGATTAACATAAATGTGGTGAATAAAATAATGGCATATGCCTTTAACAATTAAATGACTACACTCTATGTTCGTAAGAAAATAACTTGGTTCACTGTCAATGATTTTTTGCCACGTTACTTGAACCATAAGTACACAAAGGAAGGGTCACATAATAAGTTTGAGGCATTTCAGGTAGCTGTGGACTGTCCTGATTTAATTTTTGAAAATAATTTGTACTTTTTCTGGAGTATGACTGTGTGATGGGTCAAGGGACAATTTATATTACAAAGAAATTGTTTAGGAAAGCCAGTAATCTCCAGTTAAGGCATGAAATAAAGAGTAAAATCTCCAATTTTAATTTCCACAAATGTCCCAATTATCAAATGGTTTCATATCGAGAATATTTAACAGTCAAACGGAACAATATATACTCAAAATGAATATACAATAAGTAGGCTAGGCCTACATGTATGCACAACTGAAGTGAAATTTGACTTGAAAGTCAGTAGTACCTACCTCACTTACTTATTTTCTTAATCTTACATTATGACTTGAAATGATTTTTACAATATTTGAAATAAATCATACTACGCCATTTTTGAGAACATATTGCACAAAAATATAAGACATACATAAATTATGCATTACAGTAAATAAAAAAAATAAAATAATAAACTAGTTTATGTAAACATTTAAAATAATTCCAACTCAGTCCTACATATCCTATTCTACTTGTTAAGTGGGTCACTCTGTGACTGACATAATGCCTATGGTCTTTTGGTCTATTGATTTCCAGGAGACCATTATGTCTATGGTTTAATGATTTCCATGATACCATGCCTATGGTCATATGATTTTCAGGAGACCATTATGCCTATGGTCTAATGATTTCCGTGAGACCATTATGTCTATGGTTTAATGATTTCCTTATACCATAATGCCTATGGTTTAATGATTTCCATAATACCATAATGTCTATGGTCTAGTGATTTCTGTGAGACCATTATGTCTATGGTTTAATGATTTCCAGGAGACCATTATGCCTATGGTCTAGTGATATCCGTGAGACCATTATGCCTGGAGTCTCACAATTTCCATGCACTTTGTCATCTTATATCAACCCTAAAGTACAATGTATATATTCCAAACTAATTATAGTATTGCCACAAAAAAAACATAGTCATCGTTAAATCAGTCATTCTTTAAGCTCGACTTTTCTCTGAGCTTAAGTATTGCTGTATTGCGATACACCCTGTATGAGGACTGATCCAAATGTTTTGCACCATTTGATAAAAAGAATAATTATCTTATGGGAAAACAAATTCTCTGACAGATATGAACTACTTTTCAGACATGACTCAATCTGTCAATTCAAATATAAAAATTCATTAAATGTGGTGCCAACTTTTGGAACACTTCCTATATTAAATACCTGCTACATATTTATTAGTTGCTTCAGTCTATTTCACAGTCCCAAAATGGCTGTAATCAAAATGCTATCCAGTGCATGTGCAATAGACTGAGACTTGGCAACTTAATACACTAAATGTTTCTCGACTTTTTAACATGTCTACAGCAGTGAATTCTAAACTGCATTGATTTTTATCATTCATTTTATCCTTCCTATAATTCATTTTATTCATCTTTTATAATTCATTTTATTCTTCATTTTACAGATGAAATAAACATTTAATTTCAAATCTAAGATCATTGTCAATCATGTCAATCTAGTTATGATATTTGCTGCACTTATTTTGACATTCATAGACTAGTACTCAAACTTTGTAATTTCACTACAATACATGTACACTTGGAAACTACACTACAATTCATCCATTATTTACTGCAACATGTAATTTTAGAATTGATCATCAGAGTTTCAGTATTTTATCAGAGTTTCTTACTCGTTAGTATGGGTCCTTATTTCAATGAGGGGCTCTTGAAAATGTTAATGGGAACTTATTTCTGGAAATCCATGCATTTCATGAGATACACTCCATGTATTTCCAGAAGTACACTCGCTGTATTACTGGAAGTACATTTCATGCATTTCCAGAGGCACACTCCATGCATTTCCAGAATACAGTGTACACTTAATGCATTTCCAGAAGTACAGTGTACACTCTATGCATTTCCAGAAGTACAGTGTACACTCTATGCATTTCTAGAAGTAAAGTGTACACTCCATGCATTTCCAGAAGTACAGTGTTCACTCTATGCATTTCCAGAAGTACAGTGTACACTCTATGCATTTCCAGAAGTACAGTGTACACTCTATGCATTTCTAGAAGTAAAGTGTACACTCCATGCATTTCTAGAAGTAAAGTGTACACTCCATGCATTTCCAGAAGTACAGTGTTCACTCTATGCATTTCCAGAAGTACAGTGTACACTCTATGCATTTCCAGAAGTACAGTGTACACTCCAAGCATTTCAAGAAGTACACTTTGTACATTTCCAGAAGTACACTCTATGCATGGAGGTATGTTCTACTCATTTTCCATTTTCTCATCAAACATTATTGTCTTAGGAAATCACACAATACAAACAGGTGAATTTTACAACACCATTCTTCAAAAATATTTCACACAATATTTCCACCTGTAACTATTGAGGGATGCCCCATATTTTTCTATACCAGTGTATTCACTCAAAATGAAATAACTCCAATAGTTTTGATTCATGCACAAATAAACAGAGAATGCTATACTATGTTAATATTATGAGTTAATTACCACAATTTAACATATCTAGAGATTATTTTATTTTTGCCTTTGTTCTTTTCCATTCTGAGACATTTTGTTCTTGATCAGATCTTATTCATGCATTGTTTTAAGTATATGAGCAAACATAGCCTTGCCCAAGTCAGTATTTTTTTACTTGTGTGATCTTGAATAATAGAAATCAAAATATGTAAAAGAGACTGACTTGGGCAAGGCTAGAGCAAACACTGCATTATGTAATACTGTATACAATAAGAGCTGTCACATATTTTCATGAATTCTAACAAATTCTAAATATGTACAGTATCAGTAGATTAATTTTATTGTGAAAATAAATTTCAATTAATTTTCAGAACAGTTTCTCATGAAACCATTATTGCTACCTGGTTTATGATATTTTAACAGATGTGTGATATACATGTTACATCTTTGATCAAATGTGTAACATACATGTTACATCTTTAACCAAATGTGTGACATCCTTACCACTGTTAAAATGTGTGACTTTGATCAAATGTGTCACATCTGATCAAATGTGTGACATACATGTTACATCTTTGACCAAATGTGTAACATACATGTTACATCTTTGACCAAATGTGTGACATCCTTACCACTTTTAAAATGTGTGACTTTGACCAAATGTGTAACATCTTTGATGAAATGTGAGACAAATATGACATCAATGGTCATTTCTGGATCATCTTTGACCATGTGATACATATATAGGAAAACCGACTTATTTGACCAACTATGTAACAGCTATATGCCTAATGTATCACATCTTTAACCAATTGTATGATATATGTGGGCATAGTCTGTAGCAATTCAATATATAATTATTGATACTTTATTGATTTCTAAAAAAATTTCAGTATTTGAGTTGCCCAGTAGTTATAATATTATGATTTCATAACAATTTCACCAGATGACATTTTCATTTCCCATTAGACATGAGAAATATTTTTATTTATATTCCTTCCCAAACACTCAATGATGCCTTATTTCTGCCCCCGCTGGGAGGCTCATCAGACACACAATGACACAACACTTCGATCCCCTTCCTGCAATTCTGACTCTCACTGGCCCTTATAACACCTCCCTGAAGTATTTCAACGCATTCAATTTCTCCCAGAAGTCATTCCCCCTCAGTTCCACAGGTTTTTATTTTTTCCAATCACTTAAGACACCATGCGTTCTTTTCTCAGCATCCAAGCCTTATTACTTAGAATGTAAGAGCTCTATGATACCATGGCAACCAATGCTTCATACATGTTACCATGTGAACAATTATCAATCTTCCAATCCATAAGTACATCCTATCCAAACTTGTGATATCCTGTTATCAAGGCTTTCAACCTATACCAATAATCTAGTGTTTTCACCATGTTTCCATTTTGGGACATCCAAGCTTGACATCATCTAGGTTTTTCCACTTGGCACTGATAATTCACAATACGTTCACTGTGTATTTTTGTAAACCATTTTCAGACATCCAAACCTTTAGTTAGCGATGTTTCAAGAGTGATGGTGAAGTCTCGTAATGAATTCAAGATCTGTATAAGGAATATAACAAGGCTCTGTTCCCGCAGGAAGGATCTTTCCTCGTACATAGCTTGAGTGACAGGATTATCAGCTAGTGCCTTTACCCAATGACTCAATAGGTGGTCCCTGAAAAACACATTTGAAACACATAAGGGTTATGTACTGGGAGGTTTTAGATACAGAGTTTATCCCAAAGGAGCTTAATATATTTCCTGAGGAATAAACCATGTATCTGTCATGTATTCCATACTTTGGAGTTCAATGTAGACAAGACTGGATGGATACACTATTAATTATGACAACATTTTACTTATTTACACAACAAGCTGACAACAAGGTTAAACTACATGTACAGATGTTCAACTACATGTGGGTAGAACATGACACTTTAGCAAGTAAGTAATCAAATCTAACTTTCTTAAGTGAAATTATGTAACAGTGATCCTCAGGACTTTTTCTCAGGTGGGTGCAAAATTCTCATTTTCACAATTCATGGCCATTTTCATGATTTTTCTCATTTTCAAATGGGTGCAAATGGATTTTCAGATGGGTGCAAGCCTATTTTCAAAATCTCAGGTGGGTGCTGCGCCCACTTGCTTTAATGCTGGGGAGATCACTGTGTAATATCAACCATTTAAAAAATAGAAATCCTGGCAAAAGTAATCAAATCTCATACCTCGCCCCAACACATATGAGCAACTGGAATTTTCCATCTTTGCCGATATCTTGCGACGATGAGTTGACTTTCTGCGTGACGTGGATGAACGTTCTCATGGCACATAAGGCTCGCTCGCTCAGGTTTCCCCTGTGGCCTTCCCTGTCTGATAGCACCTGCTCAAAGTATTGCTGAACTTTTTCTGAAATAACAAAAAAAATTGAAACATTGACTTTCACAAAATGGAATAAGTATAGCATGTTCTTATTATCATTGAATTAATTAATAATAATATCATTGAAAAATAAATTTCACAAAAACAACATGCAGAGTATATCGTAACAATATACTCTGCATATTGGTTTTCCAGAGTATATCGTGGCGGTATCCTTAAGTTATTAATTTTGCCAATAGATATCAATTTTCTTTATGTTATTATACATTCAGTACAATAAGTGTAGGATAAACACTTAGCATGCTATCCTAAATTGCGGAAACAGGGGTTTCATTACTTTAGAATTTCAGACAATGGGACATAATAAAATCCAAACATACCTATATAATCCCAGACATAAATTTTTGAGCGGAATAATCGTGAAGATCGGAAGCCATATTGGAAAACAGACTCCATGCAGAAAACAAGACCATAGTCTCCACATAGAAGATACGTCAGACTGCCTCTCTGCAAATGAAAAAGAAAATTATCATCAATAAAACCAGTTTGGAACAGAAGTTAAAACGTTATTTACTACTAACAAGGCCAACTTTAACAAAGAACATGTACAGGGTTCACAACAAAGGTTGAAAACATGATTGATACAATTTAACATATTGTCATTCAGTCCAATAGGCAACTAGTTCATTGCCAAAAAACATAAAACATGTTGCCATTGGCAGTCAGGCAATTGTAGTTTTTGACTCCTGAATATACACCATATATGGCATTTTATTAACATCACATACAGTCTGACATTTTAGTAATTACTTTGTTTAATATTGCTATATTACTGACCTCTTTCTCAGGTTTGTAGTAATATTTGACAATGTTGTTGACAGCCTCTCCCAACATTTCCTGAATTTGTGGAACCCCCATTCCTGGAAATCAATAAATTTCATATTACTTCAGCTCCTGTCCTGATGTACTACTAGAGACACCTATTGTTTATGCCAGATTAATATGATATAAAATGGTGTTAGAGTTCAGGATTGGTGCATGCACTGTTTTCACTATAAGGTGTTTTAAAATTACTTTTATATGAATAGATGGCATATTTGGTTGAACAAGACCAAAAATAAATGACTGATGTAGAATATAATGGCTATATGTATTGTATCTTTCATTTGACAATGCAAAAACTTGATATAAATATTTGATGGATCAAAAAAGGTTTTGTCATTGGCATCATTGGTGTTTTATTGAAAGTTAGACTGTTTATCAATCCATTGGAAATTTTGCTAAAGAACATAAAAACCATGCACTTTATTCAGGGAAATTTCACTTACGTGATTCACTACTCCGCCTGGGAGTGCTAGGAGACTTATTCCTTGGTGGAGTCCTACAGTTCATTACAAGCTCTTCATTATCCATGGTATGGGGCACAAGTTCTCCCACCAGAAGGCGCTCAATACTACCATCATCAACACCCCGTCCTAACCACCGACCACATGGGAACCTGTAAAATTGAAGAATATTTGCGGTAACAAACACATTCTTTTACTTATTCAGTCTATTTATCCAGTCTTAACCTTAAAACAAATACCCACATACTGTGTTTTTACATTTTCCGTGTTGCAGAATTAGAATTTTTGTTATTTATTTGGATTCAATAGAAAAGTTGCATTTACTGAAAAATGTAATTACTTGAAAAGAAAAATTGCTTACTTGAAAGTATGGCCAGTGATTTCATTTCTGACTAGAATATGTTCTATGCACCATCTTGGAGACATGCCACTGTTGTCATGGCCGATCCGTAACGTTGACAACACTCCTAGGTTCTTGTGCTGTAAATATACAAAGGGAAACAATTAAAGATAGTGTGTATGTGCATATAATGAGACGAGACCCATCTTAAACAAGGCATTAACATACAAAATGTCACCACATGTCATTTGTTGCAAATGCCGACTGCTCAACACAGAACACCAAATGCTGAACACAATCCACAAAAATATGGAGACGATAACGATGTGTCAACACTTGTGTTGGTGACAAATAATAAGAGATTTTTATCAAAGATCATGTATTGTGCTTTATGTGTTAAGGAAAAAAGCATTTAAGCATTACATCAAATTCTATTTTTCAAGGGCAGTTGTAAACCTACCAGCGCAGAAGATGATGAACATTACATTAGTGGTAACTTTTGAATCATCCCTCGTATAACCTTCCAGACATTTACTTTTTGATCATCCCTCGTATAACCTTTCAGACATTTACTTTTGGATCATCCCTCGTATAACCTTCCACACATTTACTTTTTGATCATCCCTCGTATAACCTTCCAGGCATTTACTTTTTGATAATCCCTCGTATAACCTTTCAGAGATTTGCTTTTAATACCAAAAAATTAAGTAGAGAAGAATGAACAGAACAGTATGGTAATACTAGTTCAATTATTCTAGTTTATATTATCATAACATGAATTTTCCATTACACTGTAATACACTCATCAGGAGTATTTACCATACTTATTGATTTTACAATTTTCCTTGATCTTTATCGATCTTATCCAAAAAACTAATCAATCAATATCATACATTTAAAATGTAAACAAGATACTCTGTGTTGGCTTCCTGGTTCATTGGAATAACATAAACATTTTAATGTGATTTCCATTTCCATGTATACGGCAGCCACAAAAGCATGTGTAAACATCTACATCATACACAATATTGACCATAAAGTAAATGTCAAACCTTCAATAATAAATAATACACAAAGTATCAACTCCAGTTCCAGTTAAATGATCTGCAATGTAGGATATTGCTTGGTAAATTTAAACATCAAACAAATCATTACTTGAAAATATATTAATGTGAACATAAGTGATTAAATTGATCGAACTGCCATTATTAACTCCAGTTATTACTTTACAAATAGTAATTTTTGGAATATAAAAAAAACATTAACAGTTGAACTTGAGAGAGGAATACCAGCTAGGATGAGTCAAATAACGAGCATCATCATTGTCCTAGTTTTGAGCATCATTGTTGTCCTGAGTATAGTTACTATGGCGGTGTCAGGTGATGTTGAAAAATGTGCAGATGGAACACAAAGGTAAGAATGGAAATATTCCACATGCAAGACTCACAACAGGAGATTTAGAGTTAATTTGTGAAAGTATGATATTAAAATAACAATTTCTTCATTATGACAAACTTTTGTAAGGTGTTTATCTGAAAAGTGAAAGTCCATGTTTTACAAAATTTACACCGATAATATTTTCATAAATCCTTTAAGAATAAACCACTTCATTTTCAACATCCGCGATCGACCTCTTGTGGTGTTAGCACTTTTGGGCACTCAGGCCTATAGCCAGTGTAACGATACCCCCTGACCAAAAACATTCCTGCAAAACTGTGCAGTTTTTTCACCATTCTGAGCAATTTTCTAGTGAAAATGACACCCAATATTATCAAAAATTTGATTATTTTAGGTATCCTAACAAAACATGCAATTTAAAAGATCAAAACTGTCCAAATACATACCGATGCAGAAAGAAAAAGAAAAATGCTCCAAAGGTTAATGGAAAGAAGATAGGCGAGTGCTGCAGATATAAGCAATATCGAGATTGCGATGCCTTGATGTCAAATGTGTATACCCCAAATAAATGTCAGGGTGGGGGTTCTATAAGGTGCCCAGGGACTCATAAATGTTTCAAAGGCCCAGCAAATATATTCTCAATGTGCTGCCCTATGAATCGTAGATGTACAGATGAAGCAGGAGTTGAACATAAACCAGCAGACAAGCCATGGAAAAGTCACTATGATAACTGCAATAAGTGTGAATGTGGGAAGGATGGCAAAATCACTTGTACAAATAAACAAAGTAAATAATTACTTGTCAATTTAAACATGAAAATTAGTCAAAGTAAAGTGTAAACAATGAATTTGTTCAGTTTAAGAAAGGGATTAACAATGAATTTATTCAGTTTAGAAAAAATTAACAATTAATTTGTTCAATTTAGAAAGGCCTCAACAATTGATTTGTTCATTTAAGAATGGCCTTAATAGCGAATGAAATGGTTTCAGTACATTTCTGTCTTAATATATTGATCAATGAAGCATATAATATCAATAAACATTTCTGTGTCTGGAATATTTACTATTTGATAAATGCACAGCTATTAATGATCAACACATTACTATTAAGTATACATAAGTTCAATCAATCAACAAACTATACTACCTATTAATATAAACCCTAATGGACAACTGAAATCAACAAGTAAGAAGAAGACAAGACTTGAACTGCCAAGGAAGCTTGAATATTACCATGCTATTTATCATGTCCATCTTCAAATGAAATACTTGGTCCAAAGAGAACCTTTTTTACTAAAGTGTTCCTCGAGGCAACAGAGAATCAAGTTTGAATAATGGCTGTCAATCCCCCTTGATCAAAACTATACTATTTTCCTAAATTCTTATCCAAAAAGATAAAGACATTAATAGTAGCCCTACTAATTTGTATTTATAGAGTGCTCCATGTGTCGAGTTGATGGTAAAAAATTATCAAGAGGTGATTTCTACTGGAAGGATTGTAAGAGATGCAAGTGTATATCAAACAAGCGCAGTGTATGTGAAGGGCCTTGTGAGAGTGGCACAATGGGTATGTAACACTGGGATTCATTAACAGGGCTGTAGCCAACTTTTGCCAAGGGGAGGGTGGGGGAGGGGGGGGGGCAATCATTTTTCAGAAAAATTCTAGGGGGGGGTTCACTTAGATAAATTTGGCCCAAAATCACATGAAAAATGCTCAGAATCATGGACCCCCTGGCACAATTGGTATGCATGGAATGACGAATCAAATTGCAGATTATTTCACTCAAACTGAACACAAAGAGTGAATTAAAGGCGTCATATAGTGTTTTGTATGAGTAGAGTTTTCGTTAGTATATAAAAATGTATGCTATTTGAACTTTCTCATATCATTTTCTCATTCATTTGGACTTTTCTTAACTCCAACTAACTTTTTACCATGTGATACCATAGTAACATTGTTACCAGAGTAATCAATATTTTATTGCTTGTGTTTGCGTAGGAATGCAAAGTACGTTTTCACCCAGAAGCACAATCAATGGAGGGTGCAATCACCAAGTTAAAGTCAGTCAATGTTACCATGGTGAGAAAGGACAACAGTGTGCAGACACTATTGAACATAAGCTTGAATTCAAAGAGAGCGAAGAGCACGACGATGCTTGCCCAAAACCAGGATTAAGTATAACAGAATCTGGATCAATTATCACAAGTGGGAAAGAGGTGAATCCACCAAATAAATACAGATGGATGGTGTATTTGAATATATCAAACAAACCGATATGTGGAGGAACTATTTTAAGCCGAAGACACATTTTAACAGCTGCTCATTGTGTTGTTAATGCGCGAGAAATTATGGCGCAAACTGGAAAGCATAATGTGACGGTTGATGAGCCTCGCCAACAAAACAGAAATGACTGTGCCGTGCATATACATGAAGATTACAATGCAAGTACATATAACAATGATATAGCAATTTTAGTTGTAGACCCACCCCTGGAGTTTAACAATGTTACACAACCTATACATCTTGCTGAAAGCCATTTCAAGGACAACACCATGAACATTCTTTGCAGAGTTATTGGATGGGGAAAATTCTCTGACGAACATCTAACTGAAGTTGAAATCAGATTTTTTGCCAAAAATTCGGATGTATTACGTGAAGCAGTGCTGACGAATCTAACATGTGACTTGCCTAGTTCCGACTTAATACGCATCACAAAGCATAATGATACAATGTTCTGTGCAAGCAACTTTAAGGGGAACAAGAAAAAAACACAGTAAATATAAAATTTCCATAATTCTAAATGACCTTATGGAATGCCTATTTGTTCTGTGAAACCAATTGCAATTTCCTGATAGATGCTGCATTATTTTTATTTATGTGTTTATTACTATAAAAAGTATTTACATAAAAGCTACATGTTACACACAGAGACACAACGAGGCATATAACAAGAGCAAATAAGAATAAACTAGTAACAGATCGAGACTTCTAAAAGTAGCATGTATCATAAAATATACATCGTATCTTGAAAAAATCATGTTTTTAAAAATGATTTCACGATTTGATTTGCATGATGTTTTTTTATGTTATATACTGGCTATATTTTATGCACATATTTCAGGGACGCTTGCTTTGGCGATTCTGGTGGGCCTTTAATGTGTCGCCAAGGAGATAAACGTTGGACACAATATGGCATCGTGAGTTGGGGACCTGATATCTACGGGGAAACTCAATGTGGGAGAAGTTCTGGAGTCTACACTAAATTAGCCACATACAGAGACTGGATAAACGATAAAATCACATATGACGGGAACTGGAGTGAATTTGGAAGTTTTACCCCTTGTTCATCAACATGCGGCCATGGGAAGAAATCAAGAGTCAGAATATGTGCTAATCCTGAGCCTATTGGGGATGGGACATGTCAAGGTGAAATTGGAAGAAAAAGCACAGATGAAATAACTGGAAAAATAACTGATGTGGAAACTGTTGATTGTGAAAATAATACACCATGTTCTCATGTTTGATTCCATTTATTCAAATTAATAGATCTCTCTTTATTTTCTGAATTTCACTGTAATACTAGACAGAAAATAAGCAAGATGTTGTGTAACTAATCCAAAAAGAAGTGTTCACTCGCTGGGTGTTCACTGAAAAAATGTTCTCTCGCCACAAATGCTCACTTTCGGAATGTGTTCACTCTATGGGCCTTCTCTGTTAGGAAGTGTTCGCTCAAGAGGTATTCACCATGGAAACCATATTTACTACAGAAAAAATGTTCAATATAATGCATCTATGATTTTTGTTTAGAATGTTTACAGCTGTTTCGTTCCATTAGTGTAGTATAACTTGGCCTATAATATATCTTAAATCTTAAAATATCAAAAATTACCTCAAACTCCATTTCGAGGGCATTTTTGCCTAGCTGTATGGGTCTAGTCTCCCCTAACTGGCCTGCTATGCTGAACCAGACATTGGCACTTGTACTTGAACCACCTAACTTCCTGGCAGGGAAGATCAGCATTTTGTAGGGGATAACTGAAATACAATCAGAAAATATGTAAAGGGAGTCAAGGAGGATTGGCTCGATATTTGACATTAAACGATGACAACATTGAAACTGTCATTATTTCCTGATATTATAACTGACTATATAAATTCATAATCACTGTGTTCCAAAATATTTGAACTAATATCTTGATCACTTCTAGTGTGTTTTGAATTTTGAAATCACGACAGGACTAATAACGACAAGATCATAACACCATATATGGCAGAATATCGAAGCTGCATTCTGGGAGCCAATCCTCCATAGGGAGTTTATAGTCATTTCCAAGATGCTGTAAGGGTGACATCTTTTAATTAAAGCAAAAAATGATCCTATTCCAAGGAAATATCTGCAATCAGCAATCCAAAAAAGATATGTATATTTTAACGACTTAAAGTTGAGGTAATCTTTTATAAATATCTTGAGTTTAACAGGATGCATGCAACTCTAACATTGTGCATGGAATTTAAATCTAAGTATGTAAAACATAAAATAAAAATTTCAAGTTTTTCATCCTGCTTTCTGAAAACACAGCATTTCATTCTGTGTTTTCATTAACCAATGATAAGTTGACGTACCAGCTTTTGTATAAGTGTTGGTGAAGCAGAAATAGTCGACTGCATTTAAAGACAGCAAGTGATACAAGAACTGTTCACGTTCATCTTCACAACGGAGAAACGCATAGCGTTTGTAAAGGGCCCTGAAAATAATAAAGTTGACAAAGACCCTGAACAGTGCATTGTGCTAATTAGGCCTAATAAACAATGGAGAAACTCAAAGCATTTGTAAAGGGCCCAGAAAATAATAAAGTTGACAAAGACCCTGAAAATATTGTTGATACAGTGCATTGTGCTAATTAGGCCTAATAAACAATGGAGAAACCGAAGCATTTATAAAGGGCACTGAAAATAATAAAGTTAGATCTTAACATTGGGTTGATACAGTCCACTGGCAACAGAGGCATCTTGTGTTAATGGCCTGTAAACATCTTGTAAAGTATAGACAATATGACATGTTTTTATTCTTTGAGGACTTGGATGTATAAATTTTTCCTAGATTTGTTTTTTGTTTAGAATAAAGTTATTTTAAAACATTAAAAGAATTGTTAACTGTATTAAGAAATGAAACAGTCAATTTGATACCCGAGTAATTCATTGCCAGACAATAGTTCTTTGATGTTTCTAGACATATCTGAGTAATTCATTGTCAAACAGTAGTTCTTTGATGTTTCTAAACATACCTAAGAATTCATTGTCAGAAAGTACTTTGATGTTTCTAGACATACCTGAGTAATTCATTGTCACATAGTAGTTCTTTGATGTTTCTAAACATACCTGAGTAATTCATTGTCAGACAGTAGTTCTTTGATGTTTCTAGACATACCTGAGTAATTCATTGTCACATAGTAGTTCTTTGATGTTTCTAAACATACCTGAGTAATTCATTGTCAGACAGTAGTTCTTTGATGTTTCTAGACATACCTAAGAATTCATTGTCAGACAGTAGTTCTTTGATGTTTCTAAACATACGTAAGAATTCATTGTCAGAAAGTACTTTGATGTTTCTAGACATACCTAAGAATTCATTGTCAGACAGTAGTTCTTTGATGTTTCTAAACATACCTAAGAATTCATTGTCAGAAAGTACTTTGATGTTTCTAGACATACCTGAGTAATTCATTGTCAGACAGTACTTCTTTGATGTTTCTAGACATACCTGAGTAATTCATTGTAATACAGTAGTTCTTTAATGTTTCTAGACATACCTGAGTAATTCATTGTCAGACAGTACTTCTTTGATGTTTCTAAATATACCTGAGTAATTCATTGTCAGAGAGTAGTTCTTTGATGTTTTTAGACATACCTGAGTAATTCATTGTAAGACAGTAGTTCTTTGATGTCTCTAGACATACCTGAGTAATTCATTGTCAGAGAGTAGTTCTTTGGTGTATCTAGACATACCTGAGTAATTCATTGTCAGACATAGTAGTTCCTTGATGTTTCTAGACATACCTGAATAATTCATTGTCAGACATAGTAGTTCCTTGATGTTTCTAGACATACCTGAATAATTCATTGTCAGACATAGTAGTTCCTTGATGTTACTAGACATACCTGAGTAATTCATTGTCAGACAGTAGTTCTTTAATGTATCGAGACAACATTTTTCTCTCCAGTGCTAGTCTCACCCAAGCTCTTGCATAACCAACATGTGTCTTGATTTCTGGCATCTTTTGAATCTTTCTGCAATGTAACATTATATTTTCTCAAATAGCTGGCCAATATAAACTAATACAAGGCATTAACAGGCAAAATGTCACCACCTGCTATTTGTTACATTTTTGACAGACACCGAATGGAATATCACCAACCGTCTAACACCAACCGCCATCCACAAATAAGTAAAAATTTGGCTTGCTCTTTTAGACTACTGTCAGGAAAAAATGTTACTTGTTTGTAGATGTTGAGATTTTCGATAGAGCCAGTACTATTTTATTCTACAACATATATTGCTATCTTTGTTAAAGTTTCTCTTACTTCATATCAACGGACACGGATTGAGGTAGGGGTGTCAAAGTTGGGACATTCAAGCCTCCGGCACTTCCTGTTCGCCGATGACGTGTTTGCTTCGGTGATTCTGTGTCTATCGCCAATGATGATATATCTACAGATGAAATCATATATTAGACATCAATTATGATTTTTAAGAAATAAACACAAAATATTGTACACACATTGAAACATTTTGATTGAACATGAGTGAAAAATCTCGAACTATACATATTGAAAACATACAATCTATTGCTGCGCTTTGTTTGATTTTAGTCTTTCATTTAACATTTTGATATGCATCTTTATAAATCCTTCCACCTATTGTTAATTACCAGAAGCATTATTTTTACGACATTTAATTAATTTTGTTAATCTTTTACATCACAAAACAAAGTTGCAGCAAATTAGGTTTCACAAACACGGTTAGCAAAGTCATGCAAAATTCAGATAAAATCCCAGGTTCTTCATGTGGTACGTACAATAAATCTCTATACTATATGGTATGATCACAAAACATGGAACTTTATCTATATGACGCTGATCCTTACAACTCAATAGGCAGTAAAAACAACATAAGTCATACTATTTCTTTGAACAAGCAGAGAAACATTGTTCAATAAAAAATATCATCAAGTAAGTTACCATTTTCAATTTTTGATATTTTTGCTACATATTGCCAATGAGTGGTAGTCAGTGTTGAATGTTGTGAAAAGATATTCTAAAATCGCATTTGCTTCACAAAGCCACAAATGACCTTGAAACCCTACATGTAGGTCAAGGTTATGGGGTCAAGGTCAGGGGGTCAACCACAAGCTATCACATATGTCAAAGCTGCAAAAATAAAATGTTTTGTTAATAAAAGTGGCTCAGTCTCTAGCTCTCATCCTAAAATATTCCAAAAAACCAAAAATTCAGAAAAACTAACTTGTACCATTAATAGACTTTGATACAAAACTTCTTTCCTGCAAATATTACTTTGGAATAAATGCTCACATAAATAAACTATTTTTATAAAATTTGCGCTAAGTCTTGTAAATTGCAGTTTATTAGTAAGTTACTTTAATAATTACAGAAACGAAAGTTTGTATCAAAGTCTATGGATGGTGCAAATCACAGGCATTCTAATTTTTTAAATTTTGGAGCGTTTTAAGGTCAGTGTTAGGAGACTGATTTTAACAAGAAAAAAAGTGCTAACAGTCATGTAAGATTGACAAAAAGATGCAACTTGGATTATACCTCAAGAAATTCCAATGCAGTGTATTAAAGTATCCAAGTTATAAATCAATTTAGAAATATATATGTCACAATAAGGTAAATTTGCTTCAAAAATTGGTTTTAAAATTTATACACAACTGTTAACAAATCTTCAAATTAGGAAAATCAAACTGAGGAGATTGAAAGTTGATCTAAAAGCTACACTATAATGGAGAAATATAAATAAATGAATAAACTCCTACAACAAATAAATAATAAAAAATTCCCTGCTAAAGGGATCAGGTCAAATATCAATGTAATTCCTTTTGCAAAACTAATTCCATATCAGGGGTAGGGGGTGAAAAGTAAGGTTTTGGCAGAGAAGAGACAGTATACATTGACTATAAATCATAGGATAATTTAGTATTTTTTTTCTTTGCATTTAAGATCTTACTTCCCTCAAATTCAATGCAATTCAATGTAACAATGCATTTTCAATGATTGTTCAATGGTTGTAGAGTAAAGGAACAGGAGTTTGCAGATCCGTTTAACAGGAGTTTGCAGATCCGTTAAATTAGTTTTGCGGAAAAAAAGTGATATTTTGATCTAACTGATGGGTAAGGACATTAAACATGCCATTAGCAAGCATCCAAATAACAGCCGAGAGTTCTTGTAAAAATCTATAAGGAATAGTATAATACACTTCTACAGTATTCAGAGCCCCATTCTGTTTTGGATGCCATACCTTGCAGCGGGTTAATGCTTATCAACAAAATTGTAAGTTTTTGAAAACATCAATACATTTATCCTATTTATTTGCTGAAACTCAAAGAATGACATCATAGCGACATGATCGATCTACTGGACTGGTCTATCGCTGCAAGTTTACCCCCCTCCCCCTCCCCCAAAAAACAATGAGTAAATCCCTGCTGCAGGACCATGGGGGTCGTACACATCACTGGAAGCTTGAACACTTTATATCATAGCATTTTCAGCAAATATTTTTCAATGGACAATCAAATTATGACCCTTTAACGGTTAAAGCCTCATGGTTTCATTAAATATGTCATTCACATTATGTATTTTAAATCTCAAATTGATCATCAATTTTACAATGCGCAATGACAAAAATATGAAGTACTTTGGAAAAACTGACATGGCATATATCTGAGTTTATAAAAATACAAAATTTGATGAAGTTAGTGCTATAATATACAGTGCTATTCTCATGCATTTAGCAGTACAATTTAAAACATTATATTGTATTACATATTGTATTACATACAGTTGAATCTTTTACGCAAGATACACCACGCTAATGCTATGTATGAGGAGAAAATGAAACTAGAGATTAGACTACAGATGTTAGAGAAAACTATGGTATGGTATATGAATTCATGTTAAAGGGGCCATGAAAACACCAGAATTCAGAGATGACACTATCTCTGTAAACAGATTAACCTATAATGGTTCATCTTTGGATTCTGGGATATTGCCCCCTCTTGTATCCAAGATGGATATCTGCATGGAAACCAACTACATCTTAAATATGCTTTGCAAATATACATATCTAAGATCTCAAATGCACACAGCATATCATGGCTCTAATATGTTTAAATAAAAAATACATCTAATATAGATACAATCAATGTGATATTAGGTGTTGAGGAACAAAAAAAATAAAGAAATGCATATAAAAAATGCATATAATTATTTTGCAATATATATTACTCGGCTTAAAATGATGATTCAATTTTTCATAACTTTATTTTTTCATTCCAACCCCCTGGTGCACGCCTCCAACACTTTAAGCCATGATATGTGGTGACAAAAGGGCAATCAGATTATATTAAATGTTAATCAAAATATGAGTCGAATGACATTGACATTCATTTCTAAATGAATATTTCTAAACTTCTATATGATTGAAGGTTGGTTCTATTGCATGTTTCTACATCAGGTTAAACAATTCAAATGCTAATGATATAGCTGAAAAAATCTCCAGGTTTTTGGTTGAGTGAGCCAAATGTGATTCTTCTAAACTATATCATTTTGGACCTAAAGGATGAGTGTCTGTAACCCCAATCCTTAAGGGATCAGCAATTCTGATCCTAAGTCTGAAAATATTTAAAATTCATAATGACATGTATGAACTTATTTTTGGTATTTTTGAAGCTTGAAAAGCTCTCTAATGTAGAAAGTGGTTTAAATTACTTTTTGAAATTGAAAAATTTGCAAGTAGTTTATTCAATTTTGAATGTGTCATCCTGCTTACCTATCATTTAGCAATTTTTTCAAGTTTAAATATTTTCAGAGTACAAGATACAAATCAATATGAACTATAACATATACAGTAAAACCTGTATATCCAAATATCTCCTTAAACTGAACACCTCTCAATGTGATAATATTTGCCATCTCATTTTTTAAATCTGCAAGGCTTCTATATTAACATGAAAATCTGAACAGCTTTAGCGTGTCTCAACATCAATTGGCTGTACTATACATATAATATCTGCGTAATTCAAGATCCGAATCAGACACTGGGCCTTTAAGCCAGGCTCAAATTAGTATTCGTTGAAATATGTGAGAATTATACAACACCTTTTAAAATGTATGGGGAAATACATTAGTTAAATTATGAGAGTAAATATTCTTTAGTTCAAGCATGGGCAAGCAAAAACATCTAAAAAAAGAATCCTGAATGATGTTAAAATAAAAAGCTTACTGAATATGAATTGCTTTGATAAAAGAGATGAGTATTGAGGGGGGGGGGCATATGGCAGATTCACAATACTGAAAATGAGGACTTGTGTGACTCAGAGATAATAGAATATGACACTCTGCCACATGTCCCCATATGTGGAAAATGCTCATGACAACATGTAAAGATTGCTATGATGCATAAGTATAGATCTTTTGTGACATAATTGCTTAAGGTTTTCTAAGATTCTGTTAAATGAGAAAAGAAAATTTAAGAACAACACAGAAAGAGAGAAGTTCACAACCTAAATCAGCTAAAGTATACATTTCTGATAGTTCAGCCCAATCTCATTGAACAATAACTTCAATGAAAATGACTAAACTGTAAAATGGTTCTTGAATTTCTTGACCATCATATCAGTTATGAACAATGGCAGAGAATACTCCCATGAGAACTAGTATTCTTATATCTATTCCATTTATTCAGAACATTAATTATGTTAAGGTGCAATTTTTCTACAAGCTATATAAGTATATAAGATGCAATGACAGTAAAGTACAGTCTATTTAAACTTCATTCCCATAAATATAGACTAGGAGATGTATTCAATTCAGATAAATACACTAACACATTTTGGTTTGAGGCTATTTAAAAGCATCTTCTCTGGTGACCATGAAATACCCTCAAAGAAAAATGAATTGTTTGTAGTTTGGGAATTGTCAATCCATAAGGTTGCATTCAGGAATCTACTGTCAAAGGAAGAATGTTATTGGTTAGTAGTATTGCTCTATGGTGCCTGGAATACCCAGACAGCATTCCTGTAACCATAGCCTGGCAAAACTAAACTGCTTTTTGTCCCATAACATTCAAATGAATTGAATTTTTATCTTGACTTTTACAAAATATGAGCAGCCTTTATAAAATGGTATAAAACAGTCAGAATTAGCAATTTTGCAGTGCATGTTGGCACAGGATGTTTTCAAAAGCAAATTAGCAAAGCTAAATTAAAAGTTATAAGGACAAGAAACTAAAGTTTTGCCAAGCGTAATTGGTTTGTAGTTGACTTAACGTACAGAAAGCCATAAAACGCATATACACATTTCCGCTGCTATAAAGTGGGGACAGGGGTCCACTTTTCTGCTCCGGGGGTACCAGCCTGGACTTTTCTCCTGAGAAAAAAAAATATTGTGAAATCGTTAAAAAATGCATAAAAGTGTATGAGCAATGAATGAGATTTTGTGCAGGCAGAGGGGAAGGCCATGCTAGAAAGCATAAAGCCTTGCCACTGCAAATTTTCTGTTCTCTACCGATTTCAAGACATTTTTGATGAGAACTTTCGAAAATATTGTCTTGAAGTCTATAAGTTTTCATAGTATGTTTGTAAACACAGCATTTGACAGCATGGCTATTCCAGTTTGAAAACACACCCATATGCTCTTTATTTTCAAAACAGGTGTATCTGACAATGAGTGAAAATGGTCTTTCTGACGAATTGCAGAATGTGTGTGACTGTGTGGGTGTGCAAATTCTTAACGTGTAGGGAAAACGGTACATAAACACAATGTGAAAGATATAACTATCCTCTATCAAGTTGGATTATGATAAGAACAAATATGGGAAATAATAACAAGATATGTTGAAATGAGTTGACCGTAAAACTGATTTCACAGCAAAGTTATTTGGGCTAGAAAGACCAAAAATGTCAAACCACAAAATCAGACCCCAAACATGGGACCTAACCAGCTTCATTATAAAGCTTACCTGGGGTAAGGAAGTTGGGGTCTATAGGTTTACTACTGTCCTCACATTGTTCCACCTCCTGAAAACTTTGTAAATGAGACCACAGAGCAGATTTACCCTGAAATAAAAATTTTTGCTATTTAAACAACATTAAATGATTATTTTAATACATGTAGTTTAACTACCTTGAAAATTTTCAAAAATTTCCAAATGTAATCCCTCTAATCTGAACCTCTCTCAATGAGACAATGATGTGGCAAATGTCACTACCTGCCATTTGTTACAGATGCCTACTGCCGCCAAACGCAGACTGCAGAACACTACCAACAAAAATGTTGGCTACTACAACAATATGTCACCACTGATAGTGGTAGTGGTGACATAAGAACATCAAAATGTAAACACCTGCCAGGTTGAACACTTTTGGCTGATCCCAGTGGTGTTCAAACTAAACAGGTTTTCCCAAAAATTAGAACTTGACTGTATTCACGCCTTCTATAAACTGTAAATGGCGGACCATAATGAATATTCGAAACATTTTTGGTGAGTTTTCATGTTCGAATCGTAATGTAGACCTCAGAGCAGGGGTAATATCATCGTATACACCCCTTAGGGATAGGCTCAAAAGCTTTTGAACCAATGATACAGAAAACGTTTGTGCCTAGCCCTGTGGGGTATATTTGACAATATTACCCCTGCTCTTCGGTCTATATTTCTTAATTTTCACATGAATAATGTACCTGTTTAGATTGCAAGCCATGACTCCAGATTCTCTCAAGCAAGTCACAAAGACTGGCAATTAACGTGTTTTCCTCTACACCTGTTAGGGTCACTTCACCGTGCCCCAAATCAACAGCTTCCTGTCCCATTTTCTCAACCAGCATTCTCTTTGTCTGCAATCAAAAATCACGTATGGTGTGATTTTAAGATTATGTGTTGTAACACTGTTACAAAATTATGAGTTATAATATTATATGTTTATGAATTTTTAGAGTTTTAACATGAAGATTATGCATATAAATGTTAGTGAAATTTGATATTTCTCAAAGAGCATCAAGCTGATATCAACAAGATGCATCGCTGTAAAATTTGATATTGTAACTATATATTAGTATAGCAGAGTTTATATAGGATTCATAGAAGCTGGGTGGAATAATATCAAATCCTAACCATTGTGCCTGCAATCATACAATACAATATCAGAAAAATCATAGTTCCCTTTAACAGTTTCACTTTGAAGGGATATGATAAATAGCATAAGTCCCACATAGCTAATAACAATAACAAGCAAGCATGGTGAAAACAAAATGATCGAGTCATTCATTCAACTTGTAAATTTTTTGGTTTACCTGAAACAGAATCAGCTTAAATTGCCCTTTTATTTTGCCTATTATTCCCCAGTTAAAAATTCTTCATGTAAAGTCACTAGTTTTCTTCTATATCTGTACATAACATATTGCCCACTTTCTTTTAAATAATATTGTACTAATACCCTTCATTTCCTGTTTCTTGTTAGCTTCAAAAATGAAAGTTTGCATCATTTCACCAATGCTGGGATTATCTTATGCATTTGAACATAAAATTCCAAATATTTAAATTAACCGTATAAAAACACTTGAAAATCATGGTAAAACAATTTAAAACATGAACGTGAACAAGTCCCTATATCTGCCAAAGAGGATATCATCTGTCGTATTATGAAAATAAATTCCATATGAACCATATTTTTGAAAAACAAAAATAATCGAAAAAGTGATAGAAAAACCTGCAATGGGTGCTTCTCATAAAATTCCATGCATAAAATCAGCAGATATAGGTAAATGTTCACATCTAATAAAAACATAACATAACATAAATGAACGGAAAATCTCACCATAACTGCACACGCCAGACGAATCCCCCATATATTCTAAAGTCAATTCAGATAAAAACTGAGCACAAACTGAGGGTGATAATTTGCTTATATTTCCTACAGGAAGTAAGATATTTGAAGGTGTTATATATCGTACATGTGACCAATATACCTCCCGATTTATCAACTATTTTTTACCTACAGGGAAGTTTGCTGGTTTTTAATATTTTTGCCAATTTGGCACAGAATTTTGATGCCAATATAGTGCCAAATGGGCATATTTTCTTAATTAATTAAATATATTAACAGTGATTGTTACAATCTGTCAAAATTAGAGGGGACGAAGGGGATGGGGGGGGGGGTGTTAATTAAAGAAGGTTGGGTCAGTTGTCTTGGAGGAGAGTCACTCTAGGGGTAAGGAAAGGAAATAAGTAATCCCTGGGGGCTGGGGCACACGACTTAAAGCACATTATATAATCTACAGTGCCCTTAATATATATGTAGTTTGCAAAACATTTTCTTCATTTTCATTAGGAGCAAAGTTTTATTTTTCGAGAACAGGGAGTTGGTAAAAGACAAATACACAATGACTTTGAAGATTGTAAAAGATGGATCAAAGGATGTGATTCACATTACCCATAAATCTAGTTGAGGTACCTCCTTTGATGTGTGCTGATTGGTGTATTGAAAATTGCATTGCATTGTAATTCTATTATACTGAGGAATGTTTTAACACCAATAAGTGTTGAATTATTCAAATAATTAACTTACAGAAAATCTTAGAAAATGAAGATTTATCTGTTTTGCAAATGTTTTGTTGTCGTAGTTACCAGCATTGTTTCTGCTAGAAGACAATGGTTCTCGTGTTGTTTTTCAATAGCATTGTTTTTCACCAAATGTTCGCTCTATCACAATTCAAAAGTAACAATTAAAACTTAATCAGATTGGGAAATAGGGAATTCAGCTTTATGTTTACCCATATACTTCAACAGAATTAATTTTATCATGAGGAGTGATCCAATTCTAGAACTCTTTATGATCCAATTCTAGAACTCTATGGTCCAATTCTAGAACTCTTTATGATCCAATTCTAGAACTCTATGGTCCAATTCTAGAACTCTTTTAAGATCCAATTCTAGAACTCTATAGTCCAATTCTAGAACTCTTTAAGATCCAATTCTAGAACTCTATAGTCCAATTCTAGAACTCTTTATGATCCAATTCTAGAACTCTATAGTCCAATTCTAGAACTCTTTAAGATCCAATTCTAGAACTCTATCCCTTTGTGAGATGGGAAGGGGTGGCAGTTCTTCTTTCTTTATTCAAATTTTTTTCAAAATTTGCCAAGTACATATCTATCCCCAAAACAGTATGTTATTTTTATAAAGTAGGACATTTTTAGCTCAAGAATAAGTTTGAATAGAAAGATAGTTAAACAGATTTTTAAAGATACAATATATATTACAAACAACACTATGTTATGTTATATACTAACACTATATGCTATAGGTACAAATAACATGCAATTTAAATATATAAAATCATGCGAATGAAGTAGTTTAAACAAATGTGACAAATTATTTCAAAATATTTTTTTCCATTTCTACTGGGAATATGATCTGAAAAGTCAATTCCAAATTAATTTGGCACATCAAAGTTACACACATACATGTATATGTCAATATATAATATTGAAGAACTAATCAACTAGACCTCTCCAATGAACCCTGTTACATTTTGGTACATCAAAGAAACTCCCGGGGAGTTTCACTCCAAGATACTTCTTAATAACTATGTGGTTCCCCAAAGACCCCCTTTTTGAGCATTTTTCCATGTTTTTCCTCTCAAGATTGAAGGTTTATTGTTAAATTCCTCTGAGACTTATAATTGACTAAAAATCAACTTTTCTAGTGCTTTGTTCCAGGCCTTGACAACTGATTTAATGAATTTAATACAATTGTTTGTAGAAAGACTGAATTTTGACTTAAAAAGAGTACTCTCATAGACAATATTCCACTTTTTTCCTCTCAGATTGGCCAATTTCCATGTTTTATGCTCAAGCTAAAATTGGCCGAGCTGCACATACCTACCCAAATTATTTGGAGCAAGCCCCCCGTAAGAGACTATGCCATATTGGCTAGATTGACAATGTAATATGTTGTACTTTTCTGAAATTGGCAATAATTCAATCCTGTTTTTCCCTAAACAGACTGCAACCTATAACCTTTGGACCATCAACCTACCCTCCATCTCATAGTTTCTTTGATGTACCAAAAGGTGGCACTGTTGGAACGATCAATTGATCTAATGATGATTCAATTCTGAGAAAATTATCAGATGAATGTGTCCACCTACCTTGACTTTGCACTCCTTGAGTAAAGTTTCCACAAACTTCCAATTGGTTTGAGCGATTGCTGATGGGCTGATGTCTGAGAGTTTCGGCTGTCGCACGCTGGACTTAGACCTGGCCTCTTGAATATATTTCTAAAAGGAATAGAACGTACAAATATGATGTGATAAAGTAAGTGGATATAAAGTGCAAATACAATTGTTATGTCAGATAATTTGAAAATATTGCAGCTATCGCTCAAATAATATTTTATAGAAAACATCACATTGCAAAATAGTGTCATAGTTCTTAAACTTAAGTAACAAAATTGAAAAGGTATATTACTTTGAAACTAGACCTGTAATCATAGATGGTAATGATATATTAGAAAATCTGCGCACACATAAATAAACTAAAATGAAATAATAAATGAAGAAAAATTCACGTGAAGCTACATGAAGTGGGATATCACTGTTACCTTCCACAACAGAAGATAAAAATCAACAAATCTAATTAAATGTTCTTTTTAATTCGAGAGTTTTCACTTCTCATAATTAAACATTTGAAATAAAGGGAATTGAATTGAAAAAAAATGACATATAGATATCTGCAATTTGATTGGTGCAATGTGATGATAAGTAACCATCTTTAAACCAATCAGAGTAGAGCTCTACAATGTAGATACCATTAAAGGTTTATTCAGAGACTCATTTTATATCTCATATTTGTACAGCAAAATCTCCCCAAATGACAACATCATTATTCAGCATTGGATACACCAATCAGCAAACACCAAAGGAGGTACCTCAAACAGTCTTATGGGTAATATGAGACACATCCTTAATCAATATTTGCCCTAGAGAACCCTAAATGAAACTAAAATAATCACAATGACTTTACATTTGCTCTTGTCAAAATATTTCCTCAAATCGAATAAATTTTGAATCATTGGCCCACTTTAAAAATCAAATTTTGATGACCTTTTTGATCAATACAAGTTCCTAGTGTTCTATCAAGAGAATTATACCCATAGCCCCGTCTCATGTTTGACCCATATTTAACAGGCCCCCCTTTTGACCAATTCTTATAGCCATTTACATGATGGAGAATATTTTGACAAGCACAATGTAATTCATAACAAGACTGTAAGCATAGAGAAAGTCTAGGGTGCGGAACTTGTGAAGTATAGAAAAATATAACAGTGTAATGTCTAATTGCATATATTTTATATTGTATCTATCACCATGCCCATTTCCATATAAAGTAAAACCTGTCAAAGTGGATCAACTTTGGTAATCTAAAAAGTGTTCCACTTATGAGGTGTTCCACTTATAGAGGTTCATTTAACATGAAGTCAGTTAGTCTAAAGGAACTCTGAAAGGTGTTCCACTAACAAAGGTGTTCGACTTCCAGAGGTGTTTCACTTTACAGGTTTCATTGCAGTATTTTATCAAACGCAAAATTAAAGTTTGTCAAAAATTCTACGAATAGACATTACACTTGTTATATGTATTACTCACAATCCAACGTTTAACATGCCGTGTAGCAAGCTAAAGAAATATCACCAGATATTTTATTCAATTCAAATCAAATCATGTAACCAAGGATGAATGGCTTGGGTTACTAATATAAAATTTGGGGAAAACTAATCCAAGCATACCAAATGTTTAACTTTTTCTAAAATGAGAATTTTCTAGCAGTGAATCTACTTGTCAAAAAAGTAACATCCCTTAGCAACCAAGATTTGGAATAATTACATCAAAGTAAACAGAATTTTTTAGAACAGTACAGTGTTTTGAGAATACACTTTGTTCCAAAAATCTGGTTATTTTGAATAACATGCATCTAAATGAATCCAATTAAATTAATTAACCTAACCTACAGCTACCTGGTATTAATACAAAATATGATATTTAAGACAGCCAATATTTTTTCTAAAAAAATCCCTTGTCACAGAAGTCATTTATAAGACTGGAATTCCAAATATAACAAGGCATTGACATGCAAAATGTCTGCCATTTGTTACAGATGCAGAACGCCAACCACAAATTCTTAAACACCAATCGCCAAACCTCGCCAACATTAAGTTGGAGACCACAATATGTCATCAGTTTTGGTGGCGACATAAAAATTAAGTGTTCGAAGAGTACTACATATGAGGACTTGTCAATTTGACAGGTAAGTAAACAAATTGACACACCTGCCAATAACTATTTGACAGGTAAGTAAACAAATTGACACACCTGCCAATAGGACAAATTCTCCTTTATACAATTAGTTAATTAAAACAAATTATTTCCAACCTCTCTCTGATCTGAGTTGAGCTGTATATGTTCCGAATGCTGATATATTCTGTCCTTTCTCCGCCACTTGGCATTCTCTCGCCTTTTAGAAGATCTGAAAAGGAAATGTATATTATGAACTTTTTCCTTGTAAAATTAAGTTTTTGGGATGAAACATGGTGTGAATTTTATAGTACTGCAGTTGTACACATATAGCAATTAATGACCTTTTTAGACACAACCTTTTTTATAAGACATTAGAAAATAAAAATTTCAATCGGATGTGTTTCAAAGGAAATTTAACAATATGTATTACTTCATAATAAATCAAAATGTTATCCTTTTCAAAAATCCCTTTTTCAAGGTCAATTTTTTTACTATGATAGAACCTTGCTGAAAAATAAGGGAAATATTTTTTACTTAATTTTGCTCATAGCCTCTATTTATTTTTATCAACAAGGTCATTTAAAAAAGACAAGACCAACTAACATGAACAACATGGAAAAAACATTAATAAACGCAAGGAGCTCACATGTCTCAAACCAACCACACCATGGTGAAAGCGGCAGTGCCTAGCTTAGTATGTTCAGTGCTAGACCACTCTGTCAACTCAACAACCCCAATTCCCGACGTGAATATAAGAGGAAAATGATGGCCTGGTGATGGATAAGTAAGAGCGATTTTTAGGGAATAACTGCAAATTACCTTCACCCTTGGACCTATTCATTGAATTTTATCAATGAAATGCAATTTGTAGTAAGGAGTATCACAGTAGAACAACTTGTCAAAATTTGGTGTAAAAATATTGAACAGAACTGGAGATATTTTATTTCATTGATGTATATAAATAAAAAAATTATGGTGCCAAAAGGAGCCTTTTGTCCTGAAAGGTATTACATAATAGGGCTCTATATGGAGCCTATCGTCATGCAAGAGTTAACCTAGACAAGACCCTTTAAGGCAATTCTCACCTTGCAGGCTCAGGCCCTCTGTTCAGCACTCTGCTATTTAAGATAGGAAAGACAGGAAATTCCTCACGTTTGTGTTTCTTCCCCTCTAACCCCTCCAGACTGTGGGGTGGTAATGCTTCGTGATCAACCACAGAGGCACGCTTCTGTATAATTGACTCTGGAAATAAATAATTTATTTACAATTTCTGTTCTCAATCCATTTCAAGGAATGGTAATTATTTTAGATTCACTACAGATCATTTTTTCACTCATGGGTCGATGATATCAAAATTATTTTCAAACCGTTTAACTATTTATTCATATACATGTATGGACATGCAAACATATTTTTACTATCACATTCAAAAACTGCAGGCCTTAGCACTTTTCAAGTGATTTTTGTCATTTGTGGGCCAAAGTTGTCTAAAGTGAACCCTCTATTTTTTATTTACATACCTGACTCCCTGAAAGTGAAACATTTTTCATATGTTGGACTTCGGTTTTCTCCGAATCTTTCTTTGAACGCTCTAAGCCGATTATCAAATACCCTGAGTGAATAGTCTGGCTCCTCCCACTGAGCCAGGATCTTGCTGTCAATCAAACATGCAAACATTTGCGTCTCGATGAATGGTGACAAAAATGGCAGATAGGTGTCAGGCTGATCCCCGAGGAATGCAGCTTTGTCAAAGTTCTGCATAATTTCTCGATTGTTCAGCCAGGATTCCATATCCTGAGAAGGTTGAATTACGAAGTGTTCGTACATACTAAATAAATGTAAAAATCTGTTCAGAAAAACTTCGCGTATTTCACTGTTAAATAACAAGTCTCTAAGTTCATGTTCTGAAAGGCAAGACTGCTCTGGCATTTCTTTTTGTTCTTTCTCGACGTTCTTTTCCCGTTTCTGGGTCTTTGGTGAATTATGGGTACTCCCAGTTAATTTACTCGTGATTTCCTCAAGCGATGATGACATCACACCAGTCTTTTTGGCGATCGCAGCGATTCGTGCGAGAGCCTCACTCTGCTGCAAAATATCCATTTTATTTGGAATACTCGAAACAGAACTACTCGCACTCTCCTCGTTGCTACTCATTCCAGAGTCATTCTCAAAACAACCCGAGTCTTTCTTTGAGTATCCCAATGAGTCCTTTGATCCACTGTTTGATAAATTAAAGCAGTCATCATTTGAGTCCCCACTGCTTTGATCGAGGCTGTTATGACTTGGCTCAGGAGGGATCTGGTACCGTTGGAGGACAACCCGCAGCTCCCCCATCAGGTCCCCTTTATGGGGGAACTGGGGTAAGTCCTCTGGGAACTCAACTATTGAATTGTCTATGTCCACAAAACACATATTAGCCTGGAAAAAATAAACAGAAATATATTGTTATGAAAATACTAAATTCCACAAATAATCAGTTTAATTTCAGGAGTGATTGGTACAATATACCGTTTTATTACAAGGAAAATTACATTTCGAAAAAGTCACTATTTTGTTAACATTGAATGGGTGCTTGACATATAGCTGTTACAAGGGCGATCAATAAAATTTGCAAATGACCCTCTATTTCTGAAAATATTTGGAGTCATTTAATAGAATTTAGCAGAAGTACAGCAGCACGACCAGCAACAAGTAATATGACTGATTCAAAAGTTTATGACCAACTTAAATAATACAAATCAATGTAAAATCTTTGGGATTGAATGAACTGAAAACATGCATATCAGCTTTTTACATAATGTCATAAAAGACATCTATACCTGACTAGGAAGTTCGAGCTCTGAATGATCGGAGCTTGAGTGGAGCCCCATAATGAAAGGCACTGGAGCGTCAAGGAAGTGGAGCATGGAGGCGGGGAGGATTGGAACATACACATGCTGCCAGTTGAACGGGAACAACAAGACTGAGATACTTTCAGCAACCATCATTAATTGTTGATAGTCTGAAAATGAAATAAATAAAATTATATATAAATAAATATAAAAAATTAAAAACTTGATGTCAGACAATTTGAGAACTTTTGAGAAATTTCATTGATAAAATATTGATTTTTGCCAGTGATATGGCACTATAATATCCAAAGAATAACATGTTTGATGCTCATTAGTTATTCAATTTCAATGAAAGGTATGTACCCTAAACAACTTAGAGTATTGCTTTAATGCCTGTTTACTTTATTCCTTGCTGATTTCACTTTTTTCCACTTTTCGAAATTTGACCTACCTTTTGAGTAAATGAGAATTTGGTGCTCCAACAAAGCACTTGTGATGAGCTGCAAAACATTCTCAACTCCTAACTTAACAAATAAGTCCTTGAGAGAGAAGTCAAATAGTGGTAACTCATTCAACCCTGAAAATATCAAATAAGTCAAACAGTGGTAACTCATTCAACCCTAAAAGAGACAAATAGAAAAGAGTGAAGAAGCAGTAATGAAGTAAAATTGTGATTCTGGAAATATTTAAAGAAATAATGTACATAACTTTGAGAAATATCTATAGAGGAAAATTTAATAATATTTTGGATTGGCAACCCATACTGATCATATCCAACCTCTATAAATACCATCTGTTTACTATGCAGTGCAGAAGTTGAAGAAAAGTACATAATCTAAAGTAAATAAATCACTGTAAACAGGTGAAAACTGATATACTGCTCTCCTAAATTAGAACTGATTAATCTTCAGTAAACACATTTTGGTATACAAAACAAAACCCCAAGACAGAGGTGAGTAGTACTCACTACCCTCTAACTTACAGAGACAATTTGATACTTAGATCTTAATTAACAATTTTGAGGGGAGTTGCATCAATTTTTGTAAAATTCAAAATAAATCTTTTTTTTTGGTTTGTTTATGTCACAATCGCACCCTCTTGACTGAAAAACAACTTTTTCTGGCGATCGCACCCCCCTGACTGTAAACTGGCTACGCCCCTGTATATTATAGTGAAAGTTTACAAGTTTTATCCTTTCCCTTTTCAAACCATATCAATCAAGTGGATTAAATCAAGAACTAGGGCACAAATCAATATATAACTGACGATGATGTCTTGATGCCCAATAGAATTAGCCAATCAATTACATCAAAGTAGCTTAACTGCGCTAAATGACTATTCAATCACTATTCAATCACCTCATCGTGATGCGATTATATCATTTTATGGCAAATTCTTTAACTCTATGAATTTTGATAGATATTCTGTCAAAGATCTTTCTATCATAAGGAGAGTTTTTATTGTTTTTTTAGAAATATTGTTTTGTTCAGAAGTTGATATTGACCTATAATGAATGGCAGCTGTGTTATTTTTTATTTTGTTACCTTGAAGTTAGGGCTGCCATCATTAGTCGGAACGTCGACTTGTCAGTCAAAATGCAAGTTCGACAACGAAGTCGACAAAATTCCCGTCATGTCGACAGCAAACGATATCAATACTTACTTGAAAATATCCAAATGGCCCCAATACATTTCAATACACATTTCAACGTGTTATGTGCGCGTATTCTGCGGAAATATTGTTCACATTCATTTCATTTTCAAAAAATAAATTCACCCGGAAGTTCCCTTCATGACTTCTCTTCTCTCTTGCGAGACGTTGTACGAGATTTCGCCCGAGCAGTCGAAATAAATCCCGGTCGAAACATTGCAGGTATTTGTCCCATTTTCGTCTATAATATTCTATTAACTTGGCATTTAGTAACAATATTAGGCAATTACATACCAATATGAATATAAGTTATATGAAGCTTTTCCCCGATAGTGTATAAAGTGAAACGTAAAACGAACCAACAACACAGAAATAATTTTTCTTTTTTTCCCGATGATTTTTTCTCCCTGGAAAGTTCGATTGTCGACAATATTTTCGACAGCAGAGTTCGACTGTCGACACTGACATTTGAGTTCGATGGCAGCCCTACTTGAAGTATATAGTCTGATCAGTGTTATTAAATATTCAAAATCACATGATGTGTCTATATCAGTACTTTTTATGTTTAATATGATCATTAATGAATGATTAGTGATTTAAGTCTCATTATCATGTCTGAGATTGATTAATTTGAAACAATAAAATTCTAATATACAGTTTAACTTGTTTAAAATGAATGCTGGTTTACATGGCAGGAGTGTTCACATTTGAAAGTGTTGACAGGTGTCAAAAGGCCAATTTTTGGATTTAGGGGCCAAAAATTCCCATCACCCTGAGTGCAGAAATTTTCTTGGGTTTTGAAATGTGCCCCCAACCTGTTAGCTTCTGGATCTTCCAGTAGGTGTTCACAATAGCAGGTATTCACATCAACATGTTTTTATATTGATTGATATACATACTGACATGTAGGGAACCGATATTCATATCAATAAGTGTTCAAATTGACAGGTGTTCACATAAACATATTAGTGTTTATATTCACAGATCAGGTGTTTACAAATAAAGGCTTTGATGACAGAATGAGAGTCAACATGAGATTGAAAAGTGTTCACATTCTGAGGTGTTCATTTTATAGAGGTGTTCACATATACAGGTTTTGCTGTATGTTATCAACTTCAAAACAATTAGATATCACAATATGACTGACTGTGCAGGTTTGAGTAAACTAAATGAAGTGGGAATCGAAGGACATTACTCTTATGGAGATAATTGGTGATAGCACAGTACAAGAGTTCATATCAAGGCATTATAACATAGAAAGTGTCACCACCTGCCATTTGTTACAAATGCTGACTGCCAAATGCAGAACACCAACTGCCAAATACCATCCATAAAAATGGAGACTGTAACAATATGTCACCACATGTGGTCATGACATAATAGTTCTATAATATGACATGATGTCACATTATTGAGGACGATTAAAGCATGGTCTTATATTGGTACCCCTGTTAAATGACCTTCAAATGAAATAATAGATGGATTATTCTTTCCATATGTGATTTTAGTCTTAACATTCGTAAATCAAAAATTCCTGTCTTCCCTGAGCAAATAATTAGTAAAACATGATAAATGTGTTAAATTGTGTCACATAAGCCTATTTTCAGGGCTTTGTGGGATGATTTAATGTAGATTGTATCCTATTTTCACTCATAGCACTTAAATATAATTTGAACAATACATTAACATGACAAAATGGTGCCACATAGAATAATGTATTGCTGTTACAGATTCAAATGCCAAATTAGATAATGAGAGCAAATGCATCTTATGAAATGACTGTGGCTAATTTAACGACTGCGGCTAATTTAATGACTGCGGCTAATTTCACCACTTCACGGTTGTGAAATAATCGAGTGGGCAATGCCAGGCCACGGGAAAAGACTAGAGGTCTTATAACAGATTTTTCAATATTCTGATTTTTTGCTTTTCTTAAAAAGTACAAAGAGACCTTTCTAATGAGCCATGGCTAATGTCTGAACAATTTTTCCTTGCATATATAGACCAAAAAGTCGGATTTAAATTTAGCATGTTTTCTTCCTAATTTTGGGCACATTTTTGGCTCTGAAGCACAATTTCAGTTTTTGTGATAAGACCGGTTTTCCTATGTATGAAAATAATTACAAACCTGGCCGTTGGCAAATAATTGCCCTGTTCCCTGGTGTGTAGAATTTGAGACTCCTCCCTGGAGGGGGGCAGGGCACTTCATATAGTATATTATATATATAGCTCTCAAGGGAGAACTCTCCCTGATCCACACATACGGCTTTATATATAGACTTGAGAAATTTCCTGCATGGCTGTATTAGAGGTAACTGGCACAATAAACATATGCTCTTTGTCGCAAATAACGTATCTGTATGATCGTAGATATCATTATCCTCTTTGGTGGGTGGTTTTCGCCGATTTGGCTCCGGTGATCGCTGATAAACGGGTCCTAAATGTGAATACAGTGTATGTGATTGGTTGTTGCTTAGCTCAGCGTAGTGCATCGCGTGAAGTGTTTTCATCGCTGCACATATTTGAGTGTTTGACACTTTTTCGTAAAATGTATAGGCGGCGCCATACGTCCTTGAACCATCTTCCCGGGTGATGATGAATGAGTGAAATTGAGACTCCCGGGATTGCTTCTGCGTCCTGAATGAGAGGCCCTTTGGATGGCATAACTGAAAATACAAAATATACAATATATCATTTTAAAGCATTTACTCAGTAGTTAATACTATATATAATCTATTATATATATCTTTTATTGACATTGACTCTTAGAATGTCATGGTATGACATATTAGTCAGTACAAAAATAAAACCTTACTACACTACACTACATTATACTACACTACACTACACTATTATTATACAAATATAGTATATACAAAAACAGGTTATTAACATGTATTTAACTATACATAATACTTAAAGCAGTGTGATGCATCCAGAATGTTCTTCAGACAAGTTCAATGACCTTGAATGCTTTATTTATAAAAATGCCAACTTGCTTTTGGACATATTTATCTTTTGAGGACATTAACACTATGAATGCATTTTCAGGATGGTATTCATCAAATTTAATTTTGCTGTTGATGTTCTCGAACAATACTTTTCTATATATAACAGCACCCTATCTACCTTAATTTGGACAATGTCTCCATTATTACATCTTCCCATGCTTTACCATGTTTATGACCATGTAAGAGATGGGCGAACAAAGACACCATTAACTATTATGGATAGTAATAAGAAAAGAAACAAAACAGTATGTAAAAACTGAACCATCTCTGTTGATGCTATTCAAGGGTATTCATTCCAAACTTAAGTGCAATTTTATAAATCAGATGAGAGTAGGTTTTAATAGCTCCTTATCATTATAGCCCTAAAGTTACCACTGTTACCAAGGGAGAAGAAATAAAATCATAAATCTAGAAACTTTTGAGTGCATATTATTATTTCTTAGATCTAAAAGTCTATTCTTGTATTACTTTCCAAATTGTCTAGATTTCTTATATTTCAGAAAAAGATCACAATTAAGTCAAAATGATTCAAAATAATTTTATGGATTTTATAACTTTATATATTATTTATTTAGACTAAAGATAATCTCTTGAAACAACTGTGCCAACATCTCTTTAGCAATTTACAGTAGAGCCTGTATCTGAACACCTGGCTAATCCGAACACCTCCCAATCTGAACACTTTTTTTCGGTCCCTTTTTTTCCTCCAATTGACTCCCATGTTAAAAAACCTTGAAATGTGAACACCTCCCAATTTGAATAGTGAACAGTCATATTTGAAAAATTCACCTGTCTAATCTGAACACTTTTCATAAAATTTCTGATGTTTTATACAAAATTGCTCAAATTTTGTCATGATATCAAAACTTTGGGAAATATTCTTGAATAGTGACATTCATAATGGGGCTTTCCAGCATGATTCGATTCATTTGAATCAAATTTTCAAATTTCTGGAATGCCATAAAGCTATGTGGTCAAAAGAACAATAAATATTTACCGAGAATGTGTTTACAAATTTTTTCAGAATCTGGATTATTGCGAATGCAAAAACCTCGAAATGTGAACACTTCTTAATCTGAACGCTTTTATCAGGTCCCAATGGCGTTCAGATTAGACAGGTTTTACAGTATATAAACCTATTTTCCTTTATTGGAACTCTTTTATCTTGCCAAGGTGATTTAAATAACTCCCCAAAGCCCATATCTTATCATTTTTCATCAGAGAATTGTAAATCAGTGGGTTATAATAGTTGATCCTTTGAAAGAGCTTGACATCGTCTCACTCTTAAATTAAGATTAATTCCTTGGTCTTTTTTGTCCAATTAGATTACATGGTCAGAATGTAGTCATAAAGTCAAGACATATTGACATCACAACATTTGTTGCCTAAAAGAAGCTAATACTGTGCAATGCATTGGATAGGTGAATTTTTAATTTGCGGCATCCTATATTCAAGTTTTTACAGTCATGCAAATATATGCAAATTCAGGATGTCTGCAATGTCATTTTTGTTATATAAAAGAAGTTAATACTGTAAAACACATTGAAGTGGAGTAAGCAATTTTTACGGATTTCTACACATTTATTTTTGCGTACTCACAATTCCCCGATTTTTGCAAGTGCCTCAATTAGTACCAGGAATAAAATCGTTAAATTGCGGCATCCTTAAGTATTTCGTTCACATTTTTACGCTTAGTTGATAACTTTATTTGAGATGAAAATGATTTTATCTGCATTAATCATCTGAAAAAGTAAGAGGGAGGTGTGATTTAAGTTGATATTAAATGATTCAGGGTATTATTAATGGGAAAAATCATACTTATGAGTATACTGATTTCTAATTCAGTCCTAAACTATCCTCATATGACATAAACGATTTCCATAAAACACAAATCTGAATTGAAAACATGAAGATCTTGAAAGTTCACCGTGAATTTATTGGTCTCTTGCGAGATGATCGCATTTGAACCGAAGAAAATACTTGAGGAGGATAGTTTTGATGACAAAATCAATGTTGAAGTATGCGTCTCTGAGATCGAGGTCATTTATCAAGACAATGTACTGAATGACTCCCTACTTATTATAGGATCAACAGAAGACTATGTTTTTAATACAAGTGTTATAAGGACTCCTCACATATATTCATATTTATTAAATTTTTTGTTTTGCCATTCATGTCTCCTGATTTACCATCATTTGGAGAATTCTATTTCAATTAATTAGATTTTGTTTACTACTAGGGTTTATTATTAGGAAAGGAAATATTGAGAAAATTCACATTTTTATTTTATATTTGAGATTATTAGAATTGATAGACAGATGATTCAAAACTGTTGCAGAATATCAATATGGAATTTACAGAATGTAAAATATGAGGTGGAATGTTGAAATCTAGGATTTCACTCTATGGGATGGTACTATTTATAGGAAATCTATGATTTAATAGTAATGAGTGGCATTAAAGAATCCTGGGTAATTTACGTACAACTAGCAAAATGCGTCTTATCTCATAGCTAGTTTATGTAATAACATTTAGTACTTAAATGTTGCTTAAAAAAGAGAGCTTCGTCTTCAATCTTTCAGTTTTCAATTAATTGTACTAAATCATATGATAAAATGGGTATAGCGAAACTGTACTTGTTATAACTGCAATTCTCTCTAAGAATCAGTAAAAGCCATAAATATACTAATCACTTAAAGAATGGAGACACTTCTGTTCTAAAGACTGTGACAAAATGATTTGCGTCGCGACAATGTGGCGTCAATACCCCTAATTGACGATTAATTCTACCTAGCTTTAACAGCTAGAGTGCTACCCATGGACATTAGGTGAAATTACTCAGACTAAAAATGAACTATCGATGGCCGAGAATGATTTAATTGGGAGTCTTTAGACTGAGCTTTTCAAATAGAATGAATATCATGTTATCTGCTGTAGAGTGAATGCAACTAATGTAACAGTACAGGGTGATCATTAAGTTCTGGGAATTGGTCTGCCATTTCAAGATTTCTCAACCATTTGAGTTGAAATTTTCAGCAGGTGTACATTGTATAATTCTGAATTGACAAGCAATGTTTCATATATACATCACATCTACAATTTATTTTATTGTAATCACAAAAAGAGTAAAAGTGGTCAGCAAATTTTGACTGATGTTAATCTAAAAAATTTCCTGCCAAAACATATTCATCTTGCCTAGATTGTTGCTTCAAACTACTTGTACTAGAGGCAGAACAGTACTCTTTGAAGTCATTTATTCAGAAGTATTCTTCATTGCTGAGAGGATCATTTCATTTATAATTGTTTTCATGAGCCTGGATGAACATGTATTGTTGACAAACTTAGTCCATAAAGATGTGTTCCAGTCCTCCCTTTGGTATCCCTTAAAGATTTGCTCAAGCCATTGAAATCAGTTCCTTATCGGAATCAAACTTATGACCTCTCATATAATCTTTAGCATCCAAAATGTAGTGAAGCCTAATGGTGCTTCATCTGGTGAATATTGTCTGCTGAATATGGGGCTGTAATAAATTGTGTGAACCCTAATTCTTCAAGAGTAGTAGGGGCAGCTTGAGTAATGGGAAGGAGCATAGTCATAATGGAAGATTACTCCCCACTATTTTGAGTCATGATTGTGACTTTGAGATGCTGATGAATGATACGAAAATAGAGCAAAGTACACTCTTATATAACAATACAGATGTTACTTTCAAAACTAAAGTTAGAGAAGTATTTGAAAATATGAAAAATCACAGAAACATGTCCACCAAATAGGTATTAATTAGCCATACTTTTGGATCAAGCAAAATTTGAATTCATTTTTATTTTACTTGACCCGCTACGCCATTTGTCATGTTGCTATAGTAACAACAATTATCCATTGTGACATCAGATGACAATGAGACTGTTTTATCCAACCCAAAATTACATTCTCCATTTACCTTGAAAATTTCAAGTAAATTGGTTGAAAAATAATGAAATGACAGATAAATTCCCAGAACTTAGTGATCACCCTGTATGACAGATTTATTTCTGCAGTGTTCAGATTTTAAGTATCTGGATTACTGCAAAAGTCAGACAAATCTAAGAAGTATTTTTTCAATTTTTCTGATCTTACTCAGTATTTACTCCTCTTTCTCTTTAAATTTAAAAATTAAAGAAATATTTAGGTTGGCCACCTTGACTGAAGTTAATAACAAGGATGGCAGCGCATAGCACAGATGTCAAGACATACAGCATGGATGTCATTACATAGCAAGAATGTCAGTACATATTATAGATGTCAGTGTATGTATACAATGATGTCAGTGCATGTGTGCAATGGATGTCAGTGCATAACATGGATATCAGTGTGGTATTTTATTCCCCAAGGCTTAAGATGTAAAGTTTGACAAATTAGTATATAGAAATGATGAAATACTTCAGTCAGGTGACTACTTTTCACTCAGAAATGCGAAAACAACCCCTTTACACAGAAGAAGTAAGTAGCTCCCACAATTCTTTCATATTCTATCGTATTTGGGGATTCCCCATTACATCATCTCCCGCATCATCTCCAATCAAATTGCAGGATGTGATCACGTGAACAATCATGAGCACGTGCTCTCTCAGTGCTGCGCATGCGTAAAGTAACATTTGAAATCGTGGAAATGGCA